TTAAAAGTATCAAAGGGAAAATTATGCAATACAACACCAATGTGAACAATCAAAATACAGTAAAACTTTCAAAAACGGTACTTTGAAAAGCTAATTCTCTCAAAAGATGGTACTTTTCAATGAAACTAAAAATAAAGTTCTTTATAGAGCGGTAATAAAGGGTTGATTGGCTTAAAATTCCCACTTTAAAAAAACAAAATTATCACACCCGCCTGCTCTTCAAAGTTTTTACTGTACACTTTAGTATTTGAATAATAAAAAGGTTTTATCATTAAAAATTGGCCAGCTCTGAGTTGTGACTTAAATATAATTGAGCATTTGTAGTAATATTTGAAATATAAAAATAAATAGATAATACAAGTAATGAAAACATTTTATAGAGTGTCATGTTGTTTGTAAAAAATACATCAAAATATTAACAAGTAAGTTGAAAGTTATAGTGAACGGTTGAAATTGTGTACAAGCACGATTAACCATTTCCCTGTTAGATTTTTTGTTAATTCCCAAAACTGTCTTACAATTTTAAAATTTAAGCAATTATTTATTAAAAAATGTTATTTTTGGTATTTTAATAATTTGTAAAATTGAATACAAAACAAACCAATAATTGGTAAGAAAACCTTATGTTATGTTTAATGTTAATATATAAATTGGACACATTTGACTGCTAGTATAAAGATTTTAATACTAAAAATAACAAGAAAATCGAAATAAAAATAAATTTTTAGCTTTCATAATCAAATATACAATATTTAACTCATAGTTAATTTATCATTTAAATTTGTATTTTATTGATAATATTAATGAATATTAAATATAAAATATATTTATTTATTTAATATGACATATTATATAAATTAAATCAATATATAAAATGTAAAACCAAATATTAATTAGAATTTGAAAATAATAATAAAAACAGATTGTTCAAAAAAATTTCAATTATTATTTTTTGTAAATGTTGTTTTCAAAACAACAACGTGGTTCAGAAAGTAAACATCTCAATTTAACTGAGACGACCAAATATGTGTGCATTACATTATTTAATTCAAATAAATTTGAACCAAAAGTATATATATTTTTATTGATTTACTTGTACTTTTAAACCGTTTTTTATTTGGGTATTAATTTATCTGTAAGCATATATTATTTTTTATCAAAGCATTTATCGTGTGCATTCGGCTTTTTTATCATCACTTAAACTGAAATAATTTATTATCAAAATTTTATGAATTAAATTCATTTATTGTGTATTGTTTGTTAATCTTTGTGTTTCCTTCTTTCATTACCAATTTTTCAGAAATTGATATAATTTTCACAATTTGTGGGGTGTTTCAAAAAACTCTACAAGGAAAAATTTACTAAATAATTGCCTGTGTGTTGTGCAAATGTGTTTTTACAAATATTTATCATTATGTCCTTTATATCATATTTTTCATTGGGTAACAACAATTGTTTAATTCAAAAAAATCAAAAGTTAATCAAATAATTATGAAAACAATGAGTTATTAAATTTTTAATTTGAATAATATTATTTAAAATATACACTTTTAGTGGTTTTGAAAAAAATGAGTCATTTCACTTTTAAAAACAATCAATAGTATATTTATTACATTTATTAATTACTTTATTTAATTAGATTAAAAACCCCATAATCTTATTCCTTATGATTCAATTAATTCAAAAGATACAAACAATCAGTAAGTGTAATTGAATTGTTTGTATGGTGGGTTAAGTATGAATAAATTTTTGAAAGCTTTATATAATTAAATAATTATAAATTTGTTATATTTAAATATTTAATATAAATCAAATACTTTATAATTCTAATAGTTAATTAAATAATTAAAATTTAATAATATAGAGTAGTTAAATAATAGGAATAATGAACGTTTGGTGTTAATAATCCTTAAATACCTAATAAAAACAATGACAAATATTATTTATTTTGATAAATTTTTTGTTATCATGTTTCAACTTTATTCACGAAAGACATGTTTTTTATTTTTTAGTGTGATTTTCCCAATTTTTAGACAATACAAAGCTTATTATAACAATCATTTTTTTCAAATAGATTTTTTATTTTCCAAAAATACTTATTAGAGTAATTTTCCCGACTTTTAATCAAAAATAAAAGCCGCAATTAAAATGTTTGTTATTTTCGATGCTTTGTCCTATTTTCATCCGCCGACACGTGTCAGCCACAATTAGCTTACCAATTTTTTGGCGGGCCAAAGAAAATTGGTCAATCGTGGTACAAGAAAAAATTACAAAAATATTGCAAGACTAATGACCAAAGTACTTTAAATTATTTTTAATTATTATCATATTTTTCACAAAATCGTAACTGAAAAAAATGACGCTTTTATGAAACAAGTTTACAAGAAGAAAAGGACAAAAATGTTATAGGGTCATATGGTGTTTTAGAATGCGTTCTTTGTTGTATTTGTCCGCCACTTGCTGTGATTATTTTAAACACTTGTCTTTATGATGAAACATATACAGCACGAAATAATCCTAAATCAACAAAATGTTTCATAGAGGGATTTCTTTTGACTTTATTTTGTTGTCAACTGGGTTATTGTATTTATGCTTTTTTTCAACGGGGTATAAATTGATCATTAACTTTATCATTTTAATTCAAATAATACAACATCAACATCAAAGTATTTTTTAGTGATATACAAAGATTAAAAAAATAAAAAAAAAGATTAGACAGAAAATATCTATAAATACATCGAATTGTAAATAAATTTTATTATTTACATTAAAATAATTATATGTATTATTTTTAAATTCATATTAAAGCTCAATCAATATTAATTAAATTTATTTATAAATAACAATATACTAAAAACCGACAACATTAGATCTAACATCATATTAGAGTTTCTATCATTGTGATAGTATTATCTATTGTACACCTCTTTTCTGGAATTTGTTCCCAACAACTTTTTATTATGTTTTGGTATTTCATTTCTAGTTTTTTTACAGCTGTTGGACGAATTCCTAAAACAACCTTATCTGCAATACACCAAGTGAATGGAAATAATGTTTTTGGATAAGCTTCTTCCCACAATAAACACTCAAACATTGTAATACCAAAAGAATAGACGTCCGCACTTTTTGTATATTTCTCTTGCTTCAACACTTCGGGTGCCATATACACAGGTGTTCCGATACCTTTCGTGAATGTCATGTTAGTCATTAATAAATTCACATTTCTACTACTTCCGAAATCAGTCAATTTTGCATTCACTTTATCATTTACATTAAGTGAAAACACCAAAATATTATCTGGTTTGATATCTCTGTGTAAGATCCCATTTTCATGTAAATACAAAATTCCTTTTGATGCGTCAAGTAATATTTTGACACGCGTTTTTATATCAATTTCTTCGTCTTTTTTGTGTTTCATCAAATCATACAAACTTCCATAAAGAGCAAATTCTGTAACCATACAAATGTTATTTACAACAAAAACGGCGCCATAGAAGTGAACGATATAGTCACTTCGAAATTTGTCCAACATGGCAACTTCCTTTTCAAATTCGTCTAAAGCATCTTCAGAACTGACACACGTCTTCATTTTCTTTATTGCAACTTCATAACCTCTAAAAAGTCCTTTGAAGACAATTCCAAATGAACCTTCGCCAAGTTTCTTTTCTTCTATTAATTCGTCTGGGTCGAGTCGTGTTGAAAGTTTTGTTTGTGCATAAAATTTGATTTCTTTGATAACATCTTTATCACTGTCAAAACTGTTTGCAACTAACATTAAACTTTCATTTAACTTCGTCGTGCATTTTATATCAATCATAATTTCAAATTCACAAGCGTTATTTTCGCCAAGAACAACAATTGTTGGTTGTGCCTCGAAAATGTATTTTGTAATTTTCTCACTTTTTGTTGTAATTTGGATTTTCATGTTGTGTTTTGTTGTGTTTCCAACACATAAAAGTTCTCTATGTTTAACATTTGCTTCAATTTCGGTTCCAAAATCAATTTCTGTTTTATTTACAACAATTCCATCACCAAGTGCAACAAAATTGATATTTGAATGACGCATTTTAAAAAGTGTTGTTGTCATTGCAATTTCTTTTTGTCGCATTTTTTGTTGTATTTTTGAAACAATGAAGTATATCAATATAATAAGTATTACAACGATAACAACTATAAATATAACAACTATTAAAACGACCCACCAAACCACTTTTTTCTTGCATAAAATGCCATCATTTGTTGGTAAATACCAAAACGCGCATTTTGAGCATTTTGAATTTGAAACTTCAGTGCACTTTTTAATAGAATAAATGTCTAAACAAAGTCCGTTTTCAGATAATATTTTGTTGTGTTTACACGAAGTACAAGTATTAAGAAAAGTACATTGAGTACAATTTTCATTACACTTTTCACATTCATACAAATTCGATGTAAAATACCCATCTTGGCATTTTGAACAACCGCTTTGTGTTATTTGCACAGCACACCCTTCAATAGAATTTTGTGGAAGACACAGTCCATCTTTATTTTTATAATTTGTTGCATTACAAGTTAAACACTTGTCTTTAATATTACACATCGAACAATTTAAAAGACAAGGTAGACAATCCATACCTACTCTGTAATAATTATTTTTACATTGGTAACACCCATTCGTGACAGCTGATATTTTGTTGCATTTTTCAGTTAACTTGTCATTAGAAACACATTTGTAGTTGTCACCTTGATAATATCCATTTTCACATGAAAGACATTTTGTGGACGTTTCTATACAACTCGTGCAGTTTTCCGAGCATTTCATACAAATTCCAGATGATACAAAATACCCAAGATCACACCGCTTACACCCACTTTTTCCATTTTGTTCACAATTTTTAATTGGATACAAATTTTCATTTTTTTCACACATGAATTGTTCGTTTAATACAAATCCATTACCACACTCAACACATTTATTTTTAACAATATGAAGGCAGTTATCAATTGGAATTACACAATTCCCATTTCCCTCATTGGTTTCATTGACTTTGCATATTTTTGTTATACAATTTCCGTTTTCTGTTAGTATAAAATTTTTATCACATTTAATAGAATATTCATAGTTGCAAAGAACTGAATTTTCATGTTTTGTAAAACAGTTTTCACATTTTGAGTTTTCTGTGTAAAACCCGCTGTTACAGTATATGGTTGAAATACCATACGATTTCCCATTTTTCTCTTCTTCGCATTTTCCTGTATCATTGATAACACTTCCCGCTTGACAAAGTTTGCAATTATTGTTATTACAATTAAGACACTGTGTATCACCACAATTTTCACAATTACTATCAGACTCGCCACTCTCACATTTAACACAAACATTTCCGTCTCCATATATACATTTGTTATTGTAAACACAACTGGTGTTTTCCTTGATATAAAGATCAACACATTTGTAACAATTTGATGTTGTTCCAATTTCACATTTTCCCGATTTTATACAATTGTAATTGTTGTCTAATACATATCCATCTAAGCACAACACACATACATTGTTTTCATTGTAACTCGCACAATTAATTGCTTTTGAAACGCACTTCCCATCGACAAGTCGATACTCAAAATTACACAACAAGCATGTGTTTTTCGTTTGAGTCGTTTCAACCAGAAGACAACTGTTGTTTGTGGTTTCACTTTTCATCACGACATGACTAATGTCAAATACTCCGAAATCGACTGGGACTATATTGTGGATAGATAATGCTCCAAAAACAAATATCAACGAGTTTGGTTGCAAATAGAGTGAAGAAATTTCAGAAGAACTGTTGATGACAAAGTTTCTTATTATTTTAGTAAAATTGACTGCAAAATTCATATTATGACCAAAATAAAAAGTGTTCATAGTTGAATTGAAAATGACTGAGTATGGCGTCACAAAGGGTATTTGAGTCGAATCAAATCGAATTTCACCAAAGGAATATGAAAACACAGTCCCATACACTCTCCCATAAAAGTCGACTTTCACGTTGTCTGAAATTGTAACGATTTTTGGACAATTCAAATTAGAAAGCAACACATTTTTGTCAACATATAAATTTGTGTTGTCAAGTGATTTTGTTTGAAAATCATAAGAATTATATTGTTCGGATAATTTTAATTCGCAAATTACACTCAAATCACTATTACATGGACAGTGCGGAAAGTTAAATGTTTGTGGAGAATAATTTGGTATATAACTTGAATTGCTGTATGAGTTCAGTATCAAAGTGCATGTCACTGTTTTGACCAATTCAACACCATTTGGACAAAAACGAATAAGTCTTTGATTTGATATGAGATAGCCTAAGCCTTCCATAAAGATATAAGGAAACATTGATGATAAAATGCAATTGTTTGCAACTAAATTGATGTTTAAATTGTTCGGACTATTCAGTGAAATTACGTCAAAACACTTTTTGTTATTGACTGGATTTAAAATTTGAAAATCGACTCTATCAGTGATGTTTCTATTTAAGTGAAGATATGTGGAATTCCATAATAATATTTGTGGATAGTTTAATAGTGGATTTTTAACTTCAAGTGAACCAGCAACTGAGAAGTAACTATTAACGTTATTAACTGAATTAATTCCTATCACAGTCATATTGACGGTATGGAAAAAACCTACGTACGTCACAATAGCGTTATTTAATATCATATAGTAATTAAAATGCGTGAAGGAATAATTAGACGTAAGAAGTATTGTGTTAGAAGATAAAGTCTCGTTGTACACAAGCATTGGACCAAATACAAAATCAGAATTAAAACAAAAAGAACGCGATTCTGTTGTTTTAGTTGTACAAGTGTTCGGTGTAAATCCTTCTGTAACACTTTTACCAATTGGTTTGCACTGACACTCTTCACCATTTGAACACACAATTAGAATAAATAACCACGAAGAGACATACATACGTACTTATATTTAATATTTGGAGTTTACAATAATAACAATCTAAAAAACAATAAGTCGATGTTAAGTGATTATTTGTATGACGAGAAGTTTTTGTATTCGATTTTTTGTATTATTTATATAAAAGTATTTGGATTATAAAATAATTTTATTAAAGATTTTAGTTAATTTATTGTTTTATTAACTTCCATATCGGAATTATTAAAACATGAATAGTTAAAAGTATAGTCATGTAAAAAACGAATTACTTTGTTGTTATCTATCTAAAAATTTTGCTTAATTTTAAAACCATCATTAAAATCATTTTAATTATTTAATTCAATTATAAAATATTTATTTGATTAAATTCAATACATTTTCAAGTCAACGATTTTTTAATTTATAATTCCCATATTAGAAAACAATAATAAGTAGTAAAATGCCATTCAAAAAACATGGATTATAAACAAAAGTCGGATGATAAAAGTTTTATGTTTTTTAAATGTTGTGTTGTTGACATAATAATTTGTAATTTTTGTTTTAAAGAACGGGAATTAGGTAAAAATGAAAAAAAAACAAAAAGATATTGAAACAACAATTATTAAACTTTTTGAAAAAAATTCCGAATTGTTCCGATTATAATAAGCTAATTAACGGACAACTCTTGGTAAATGACTATAATAATTAAAACGGTGAGTCTCAAATACAATTCAATTGTTTATATTCTAAAAACATTTATAAGTTACCAGAATAATTTGAAAAATAAAAATAGTGTTTGTCTTTTGTCATTATCTGGTGAACAAAAAATAGCTTTAATTAGATTTAAAAATCGGGCATTAGGTAAAATGTGGAAAAAACATGAAACAATTGGTATGGATTTTTGGGACGGCTTCCCGAAGTATTTCAATCTTTATAGTCCAAAAAACACCATATAATGTTTAAAAACTAAATAACTCACTATAAAAACACTCTCGGCAAATTTTTTCATTGGTAAAGTTAGTGAGGGTAGTAAAGGACAGTTTTTAATAATTGCAATTATAATTTAATACATATATTCGTATTTACAAAACTTGGTGATCAAAAATAATTCACTAAAATTATATTCAACGTATATCATAAATTTTAATCAAAGGATATCAAGTTTATAACTTATATAATGTTAATAACTTTTATTTATTTTATAAACAAATAATATCCGTTTAGATTTTTTTAAATTGTAAAAAATTGAATAAATTACATTTGATCGACCATTATCTGTAGTCTATCAATGACAACTTCACATTTGATTCTTTTTTCTTTTCTAAACGTCCAACAATCTTGGATTAAATCGTACTCTTCTTTTGTAATACTTGATCTTTTTCTTGGATGTTTCCCATGTGTTACATACTCCGCAATTTTCCATGGAAATCTGAATTGTTCCTTTGGATAAGCTTCTTGCCAAGTGAATGCCTCAAACATTGTAATACCGAGTGAATAAACGTCTGCACTTTTTGTGTATCTTTCTTGTTGTAACACTTCAGGTGCCATATACACAGGTGTTCCAATACCTTTTGTGAATGTCATATTAGTCGTTAACAAATTGATATTTCTTGATGATCCAAAATCAGTCAGTTTACCAAAGACTTTTGTGTTAAAATCGAGTGACACAATTAAGATATTATCTGGTTTGATATCTCTGTGTAAGATCCCATTTTCATGCAAATACAAAATTCCTTTAGATGCATCCAACATAAATTTAACTCGCATTTTCTTTGTGATATCTTCGTCTTTTTTATGTTTCATCAAGTCATTCAAACTTCCATACGGAGCAAGTTCAGTGACCATACATATTTTCTTTGGTACGAACACAGCTCCATAGAAGTGGACTATATAGTCACTTCGGAATTTGTCAAGCATATCAACTTCCTTCTCAAACTCTTTCAACATTTGTGCAGTGTCACTTTCGCTCATTTGCTTCATCTTTTTGATTGCAACATTTTTGTCTCTGTATCTCCCTTTATACACAATACCAAAAGACCCTTCACCTAGCTTTTTTTCTTCCTCCAACTCATGATAATCAATTCGAGTCGTCATTTTTGTTGTTGCTTTTATTTTAATAAGATACACTTCTTCTTTACCACTTTCTATATCAAGAACAACACATGCTATTGTGTCGGATATGTTACTTGAAAAATTTGGCGTCAAAAATACTTCGAATTCGCATGCAAATCCTTTTTTAAGAGTAACTAGTGGAGGGACACTTCTCACTGAATATTGATCACACCCGTCTTTTACTGTGATCTGAACCTTTTTAATACTTTTTGATGAATTTCCAATACATATGAGTTCTCTGTTTTCCTCACACACATTGATCTCATTCGACACGTCATCCCCTGTAAATTCTAACACTTTTTTATTTGATGAAATACATCCTAATTTCGATACAAAAGCTATGTTCGAGCGGCTCATTTTGAAAATACACACTTTGCGAAGTTCTTTTGTCTTTTTGTGGTGCATTCTGAATAAAATGATAATCAACACTATAATAGAAATGATCACTAATATAACAAATACGCATACGATACCGATAGAAATATATATCGCTATTTTAGACTTGTCAATACAAGAAGCACCATCTTCTGAAGGGACTTTGTCTCCTTTACATTTGATACATTTACTATCTTCAGCATTTTCACAATACTCAATTTCACTGTAATGAACGCAACTCAGACCAATTATTATGTATTTGCTTTCACATTTATCACAACTTTGTGCATGGATACAAGTAACACAGCCGACACTACAACTATAACAAAGCGGTTTAGATTCACTCAAATAATAGCCACTTTCACATTTAATACATCCACTTTGTGTGATATTTTCACAATTTGTCATATTCTCAAATGGTAAACACAACAGACTTTCACCATAAATTTTGAAATGATTTGGTGCACATTTTAAACACGAAAATTGGTCATTACAAACTGAGCAAGTTGTGTCACACTCAATACAACTTGACTGTGATTTGTAATAACCATCCCGACATATCGCACACCCAACACCGTACGGCATCACCTGACGACACTTCTTTGTCAGATCTTCAGATTTTTCACAAATGTTTGTCACTCTGTTCAACACGGAGTCATTTGCACAACTTAGACAATATGACGTGTTAAAACATGACATACAATTAGAAGGACATTTTTCACATGTTGAAATTAATGACAAATTTGTTAGGAAGTACCCATCTGAACATTGTAAACACCCTTTTGTTGTTTTAACATCACAATTTGTGTTATCTTCAATATTTTCACTTTTCGAAGTGCTTTTATATGGTGTATAATAAGAGATATTATTATAAAATGTATTTAAACGGTTTTCTGATGTGGATTTTAACGTTGAAGCTTTTTTATAATCTTGTATTGAAACACAAGTGTTTTCAAAAGGAAAGAAACCTTTAAGACATTCAACTGTTTGTGGGACATCTTGATTTGATTTTTGATAAGTGTATTTAGTGTTTACATCACTTCTTTTTGAACAAAAATGATTGTTATCATTGTTCATATTTGTGTTTGCAAAATAATAACTGTCAAAGCATTTGGTACATCGTTTACCATCCCCTGCATAACACGAAAGTTGTTTGAGTGATAAACAATTCCCATTAATTGGGAGATGTGTATTTTCGCATTGGATACATTTACAATTAGAATCGTATCTAATACAATTAGTAACAGAACACGTCGTACAAATGTTGTTGATTAAACTTGAAACTTGTTTGCATTTAACACAATCGTTTGATTCAAATGATCCACAATTGATTGATGAAAAACACTTGCTTGTTGTATAATCCAAAAGTGAATTTAATTCACATTTAGTTGATATCACAACATTGTTTGATTGAACACAATAAATTGATAACATATCTTTTGAAGAGCATTTGATACACAAATTGTTAGAGTTTAAATAGTTGTTGTTTTGACACTTGAAAACGTTTCCATTTTTCATCAAATTTTGTGAATCATCTTTTACACAAACTCCACTTGTTAATGTCGAGTTTTCTTCACATTGAAAACACGAGACTTTATTTGTTTGTGTTTTATAATAATTACAATTTGAAATGTCCAAGTCATTTTTTATTTGACAATTTCCAGCGGAAGAAATCCCATCACCACACTCTTCACAGGTTATTTTACTTGTCTGTTGGCAAACTGAATTTGTGAATTGCACACATTTGCCATTCAATAAATAATTTGAGAGTTGACATTTCAAACATTTTTTGTTGTCATTTTGTGTAGTGCAGTTTGTTTCATAATTGTCACATTCTTTCGTATTTTTGTTGTAAATTTTGTTATCACACAAAATGCATTTTCCATTGACTAAGACATAAGGGGTATAACACTCTTCACACACCGCTTCATATTTTTGTTGACTCATCAATGTTTCATTGTTTTTGCATGCCTTACAATTTGTTATATTATTATAACAATATTCACATGAGCTTGAACTACTTTGATACATTTGAAGTTGTGCAAGACAAGCACACTTCCCATTGGAAACTTCAAATAACCCATTACACTTTATACAAGTCTTGGATGTTGTACTACATTTGTCACAATTTGGTATCTCTGAACAAGCAGCACATATCTTATTTGATGGGTAATACCCCTCGGAACAATTTAAACAGCCACGTCGTCCATCACATGTTGCGCTACAGTTTGAATCACATTGGTGACACAATCCGTTGTCAAGATATGTATTATCTGTGCAACTTTGACAGTCTGAAAGTGAAGTGCAATCAGAACACGATGAGTCACATTTTGAACACGTTTTTGATTCCGGGTAAAATCCTTTGTTACACATGATACATCCCAAAGTTGAATCACATGTTTTACACTCTTCTCCACAACTTTTACAAATGGAATTTTCAAGATAATAATTGTTTCCACAAGTAAGGCATTGGGTTGATGTCTGGTCACAAGTCTTGCAGTTTGAATCACACTTTTTGCACGTTTTATCAGAACTATAGTATCCATCTACACAAT